CTGGCTCAGAGTCTTTATCCTGGAAATTACCAGCCAAACTATGTTCACCATTTTGTAAAGTTACTCCATGACAAGGGATTGCTCTTGAGAATGTACACACAGAATATTGATGGACTGGAAAGATGTAAGCTGACTGAATTTCTCAACTATAGCTTTTCCATGAGTGACCAAGACAGAATCTCTCCTTACAATATCAACACACCTGGAAGTTTGTGGTTTGCCTCCACTTGCAATCCACAGGCAGCTAAGGCAGTGTTTTGACTCTAGGTTACCCGGGCATGTAAATCACACTATGTGTAGTTTCAGTAACTGATGTGATTTTTCTCTTTTAAGTGGCTGAAGTACCAGCAGCAAAACTTGTGGAAGCCCATGGAACATTCTCAACTGCATCATGTATAAGATGTCACAAAAGCTATGATGGAGAACAAATAAAGGTAGGGATTATGGATTGAAAAAAATGTGCACTTTGCAGGTAACATTCCTTTTTAAGTTTGATAATTTAAAATGACTTGAAATTATTATGGTATTTATCTGAAACCAGCTAGGACAGTTATGGCTGATGCAACAAAGAGAACTGCACATTTAAGATCACATGGCCTATTTCCAGCAGGCCTTAGCAGTGTGTTAGAAAAACATTTTCACTTCTAGTGTTTCACTCAGTCAGTATAAGATAACAATTTTGGAAGAGACAAACTTGCCCCAGATATAACTCCAGGTTTTTTGTGAGGTAAGGGCCCTGACTACCTGGCCATCATTTCTCTTCAAACATCAAACACTGTAGGGCAAGTCTGACAAGTCTCACCCTTCATCAGTATCCTGTGAGCTGTATCAGGGCTATCACCAACTCAGACTACAGAGCCCATTCTGCTTCATTATTCTCCAAACTTGGAATTTTAGATATTTTCCCTGTCAATACATTTGAAATCCCAAATTCATGTTTTATTATCAAAATAGTGTATTGCCCCCATTGTTTCCCAATCTTTTTGTAACAAATAGCCAAATTTACTGCTCTGGCACCAGAACTGCTCTTATTATGAACTGCATTTATATTGTACAAATCTCAAGCAATATTTAACTCTCTACCAAGGTCCTAAAATTTGCAATTCTCTTCTTGTATTAGTCACTTGCTAATCAAGTCTTAACTTCAAGACAAAAATGCTAGAGTTTTTTATAAAAATAAACACTTAATTGGCATAGCTTGGCCAATTCAGTGTGCTTGCTAATGAAGCCTTTTTAGCTTTAAGACAAAAATGCAAGGGTTTTGGCTAAAAGTAACACAGAACTGGCCAAGCCGCACATTTGCAGCACTCATTTTTTGTCAATACATTGTTGTTAGTGAGGTGGCCTCCCATAAACCAGGTGGTGTCTTGAGGTCTCCTCACCTTACGATTATGATGCTGTACACTGTCTATTGTTACTGGTAAAAAGGCAAATAGGTGATGATTATGATTTAAAGCTGTTTGATTGTAGTCCTGCAACATACATGAAGCTCGAGTCACTGACAATTATGTAATTTTTATAGAAAACTATCATGTCAGACCACATGACCATCCCTTCTCTTCAAACTTCAAATGCGCTGGGGCAAGTCTGACCCTTCAGTATCCATATTTCAGACATTTGATTGAAGCATTGCAATTTGTTTGAGGCTTGAGTCATAGAGAATTTGTATTTTTAACAGAAAACAATCATGGATGGTGACATTCCTAAATGCTCCAGTCCAAGATGTTCAGTAAGTGACAAATAAAGGGCCTTCTCTGTTTCTTGACAATTATGAACTTATATTGCAAAACACTCACATTCGAGATCTTTATGAAATATTAATTTCTCTTTATGGATAGCTATTGCTCTCTGGAAAGTGAATTTTAACACTACTACCAGTCACTAATCAGTTTGCTCCAAGATATGTATTCATTTCTTTGCTTTTTTTGTTAAATCTGTATTTTTTTATCCTTGCAAGCCTTTTGAACCAAGTGATCTAGCAACCACCTAACCAGCCTACTTCAAAATTGAAAATATTTTTTTTACAAACTTCCAATGGGCAGTAAGTGAAAATCATATGAAAAATCATCAAACACACAATCCACAATCCACAACCCACATTTTATGCCGTGTTGGCTTTGTTGCTTCCTTAATATGTGAAAATATGATAGATCAAAAAACATTCCTAGGATGAAAAGGTACTCCTTGAGCACAAAGTTGATGCTGAATTGTATACTTGAATCTTTTTTCTTTCAGTGTGTGGTTAAGCCAGATATTGTGTTTTTTGGTGAAAACTTGCCCAAAAGGTTTTACTCCTATATTGTGGATTTTCCAAAATGTGATCTTCTAGTAATCATGGGCACTTCATTAGAGGTAAAGGTTACATTGAACCAGTCTTCTAGTTTTGCGAACCACTGATTGAAAAGTTTTAAATTTAACATTTGCTAACATTAATTTCTTTAATTTCTTCAGGTGGAGCCATTTGCAGGCATTGCGAGTTCTGTGGATCGTTCCACTCCTCGCCTTTTGGTAAACAGGGAGATCGTAGGACCGTTTTCTCGGCGTTGGGAGAGACGTTCCAACGACGTGGTGCTCCAAGGAGATGTTGTAGAGGGTGTGACAAAACTTGTCAACCTGTTAGGATGGTCTGATTCAATGGACATAATTATAAACAGTGCCAAGCAAAACTGGAAAGATCATTTGTCTACCACGGACACCAAGGTTAGTAAAGCTTCCGAGGAGCTTGCTAAAAGTATTGGAAAGACATCAGACAGAAGAGAAATGATGGAAACATCTTCACAAACTAGCAACGCCCAGCCAAAAAAATGCGTTGATGTACAGAGAAAGGAGAGTGGACTGTTTACAAGCACTCCTAAAAATGGAGTCTCTAACGGAACGACAGGACCAAGTCCATTTGGTACCAGAACGCTACATTCCCAAACTAATAGTTTTACAGGCAAAGGAGTTCTGTACAGGACAAATAAGAGTGTTCTCTTCATGAATGGGGAGGGGCCTATGAGACCCTCTTCATCTTCTCAAAGAGCCCCTCTTTTGCCGTTCCGATACACTCAGAGAAAAGAATCGAGCGGACAGGATAAGAAAACAGACTTCAAGGTTATTGAACCAGGAAAGGATCTTGCAAGTGCAGGATTTAGACTTGGAAGGCGAAGCGTGGGGCGAGTAAGCTGTTTTCTGGCCGGAACTGCGGATGAAAGTTCTAGTGATGATGATTCGGTATAGTTCACAGTAAAACTCCTGCTGATTTATAGCAAGAGTTAAAATGCAGCTGCTAAATAACGCAGCGTAGTACATGTAAGGAGCCGGTGATGATGACGTTGAACATGTCAGAAACCGACTATGGAGGAGAAGTTGTAGTGGGCTAATCACGTTGGGTTAATTAGTGGTACATTATGTTAAAGTCGAGTTGTTTCCGTACAGATACATATATCAAGTATATATATTTTTTTAACTTCTGTAAAAATGGTTTAAGGGAAAAAGAAAAGATAAATTATTCCGTGCTATATCAAGAGTTGTCGATTGTTGTGACGCAGATAAAATAAATAAATGTATTAAGTAGAGTTAGCATTGCTGTCGAGCTTATCTCAGTTTCTGTACTCTGATGCTGGTAGGATCATCAACACCGTGTCCATTCAGGCTAATCCCTCCCCCCCGCTCCCATAGCTTTTTTTCAGGTGTCTCTGACGCAACCATCTATACTCTCACCTGCTTTCTTTGTAATCGGTGCTTGGGTAGGGGGGCGGAATTCAGGGAGCGCAGAGACAGAGTCCATATAGAGACATATGTTTTATCGAGTGTTTTTTCGGGTCATTTAAGACAAGGGTATTGCACTGTATCCCACGATAATTTTATTTATTTCATTGGCGGTGGAGAAAGGTATCCTAATATGTCATCAGTTATCAGGATTGTGAGTAATGTTGATAGGTATGACCTTCACGCAAATCAGTGGGACAAATGTGCAGACACTCAAGTGGCTAGACCCTCACAATTATCTACTATCTGCCAAGGGTTTGTGGTTTGCAAAACAGGCGTGATTTTGGCAAGCGAACGCTCGGTATTTTCTCGGTAAAAACTATCGCTCCATCTTTGATTTTTTACAACAGTGTAAGGCTAGGGAGAGAAATAAATTTGAACAACGGTAGCAAAGGAAGAAGATGGGATGGGTGGGGCAAAATAAATCATCTTTCCCCGCCTCCCCCCCGCCTCCAGAAGAGTGGGCCCGAAGGATGTACTCTTAAGCCCCTAGAAAAATTTGCACACCCAGAAAGGTTTTTGAAACCCCTGTTTCAATAACCGACTTTTAAAAAAAGGTATGATGTGTTATTTTCCTCGTGAAAATAGCTTGTATACTCTAAATGATGAGAGGCCCCCCGGATTCAGAAGAGACCGACTTTCCTCCTGAAATGGTAAGTTGTACAGCACAAAAGTACTAGGAAATACTCTCCCACCGACGCAGCAACACAGTTTCTTTAGAAACTTACCCCCTTTATTCATCTGATGTGAACATACTATGCTTCATGTTCATAACAAACGTGTGCACCTGTCAACTAAAGTGCACTGACTACACATCAGGATCTGTGTGAAACTTCTACTTCTTGTTATATCAGTACAGATATCATTTTGCAGACTGCGAAGATTGCTTTCATATTCAGGTCTTTATCCGCAGTTCAAATATATGACTTTCATATATTCACAGTCGTTTATTCACCAGTTCATGGATTTAATTGGAACCACTGAACATAATAACCAGTTCCTAGTTGGCTTGTTAGCTCAGTTGGTAGAGCGCTGTACCGGTATCGCAAAGGTCATGGGTTCAAATCCCGTGCAGGCCTGGATTTTTTTTTCAGGCCTTATTTTCACTACTGTTCAAGTAGTGTTCATTACTGCGAAGATCGCTTTCATATTCAGCGGATACCATCTCATTAGTCTCGTACCCAGATCTTTCACGGCTAATCTCTAGGTAGGATCTGGGTACGAGATTACCATTCCGCTTCGTTTTACCCAACATGTCCTCCTCAGCTAAATTATCTGATATCAATAATTGCTAATATGAACTAAATTATCAGATATATATAATCTAAATGAAGTGTGTAGCACTGGTACCTAGGAAGGTATGCCCGATAGAGGACTGGGTTTCATTCCTGTAAAACATGGCGGAATCCACGGAATCAAGTGAGTAATGACCCTTTTTGACGTTTTTCAGCAAAAGCGTTCCTTTTCCTCTTGAGTTGTACTATTTATTTTTAAAATGAAATTCATCTAGATCGTGGCAAAAAACGAAAAAAGCGACCTATACTTTTAGAGGTGCTGGAAACAGCTCGAAAAATACTGAGAAGAGATGACCACGGGCAACCCTCTCCTTCTGCATCAACTGGCACGGTTATGAGAACTCGAGCCCCGGCAGTGTACCATTTTTCGAAAGATTCACGTACAGGACGACGCAAGACTCACTGCCAATATCGCCCAAGAAGCAGCGCAGCAGCCAGCAAAAACGTACTTCAGCTGACAGACGTCGGACTCGCGAATGATACCGACGTTCTAGGTATTAACACTAG